GCGCGGCTGAGCGCGGCTGAGCGCGGCTGAGCGCGGCTGAGCGCGGCTGAGCGCGGCTGAGCGCGGCTGAGCGCGAGAGCGTCCATTCAAGCCCACTCGACCGACCGGTCGTGCGTGAATGGAGTGGCCCGTCCGCTACTACGGCGTAGTAGTACGGCGCGGACCGGTCCGAGCGCCTCCCTCCCTCCCCCTTTCTTCCCCTTCCCCGACCCTCCCTCCTACTCTTTCGCTATCCCTCTCTACCTCTAGGGACCTCTCTGTGTGTCCTGAAAAGCGCGCGCGCCATCCTTTGCCTTCCTGTTACTATTTCCGGATTTGATCAGATTGGGCGGTCGGGATTGATGGCCATATCTTTCCGGAGACGTTCAGAGAGCTGTTCGATTTGTTTGGGTGTCGGTTACGCCAGCGCTTGGCTCGTTTGTTATGGCATCGAGGGGCTGCTGCCGAGGCTGCTGCGGGGAGCTCATAGAGATGCCGTCATGTTGCTATGAGTCGCAGATTCGTCTACCGCGACGTCAGATTGACTTGCATTTTTTTTCTTTCTTTCTTACGTGTGCTCGCCAATGGATGTGGCCCTCCCATCTCGCCTGCAGGCGATCGCGGTAGAGTTGTGCTAAAAAGTCGGTCACCTGTTGTTTTCATAGGCGGTGGAAACACATGGCCGGCGGGTTGGACATTAAAATATATTGTCAAGGTCAAGACTCGACTTGTAACGCCACCGTGGGGCCCGGCGTGGACCGGTACCCCTGTAACCCCGTTCGGCAGCCGCTTTGATCTATAAGCCCCCATTCCTCGTCGGAACCGCCCCACCCCACCCCGCCCGGCCCGCCCCGCCTCTCCGCCCCGCCGCTCCGCGCCTCACACAACAGACTTTCACTTGGATTCATTCTGATTGGCCGCCCTCAGCTGGCCTCACATTCCGGCAGCACGTAATGCGTAACTCATTTGCAGCGATGTGCCGGGGGTTGTTGTCCGGGAGGTGCTCACCGCCGTCTTACTCGTCCCGCAGATCCCGTGGCCGCCCCGGCGCTTCCTGGACCATGCCGCCGCCGCCACTGCTGGTGCTGACCCTCGGCGCGGTCCTCGGCCCTGCCATCCTGGGCGGCGCGGCGGGCTCGCCCGCGTACCCGCAGCACCAGCAGAGCCAGCACCCCCGCAGCGCCCGCTCCGGCGGCTTCCCCAAGTTCCCGGGGGTGCCGCTGGCCGGGGGTGGCTCGCCCCTGGGCTCGCCGGCGGTCGAGAGGGTGGGCGCGCAGTGCGGCACCCGCGCCATCCCCCACCTGCCCAGCCGGCCGGGGACGCCCGGCGCGCGCATCGTGGGCGGCACGCAGCCCCCCTACGGCGCCTACCCGTGGCAGGTGGAGATCCAGGCCTTCCGCGCCGAGCAGCGCTCCTTCCAGCACCACTGCGGGGGCGCGCTCATCGGCCCGCGGCTCGTGCTCACCGCCGCGCACTGCCTCAAGGCGCCCGCGCTCAGCTCGCCCGACCAGCTGCGCATCGTCCTGGGCGACCACAACTTGTCCTCGTCCGACCCGCACGAGCAGGCCTTCCGCGCCGAGCGCGTGCTCCTGCACCCCGAGTTCAGAAAAGGTACGCCTCCTGCTGCCCCTCTCTCTTTCTCTCTCACCCTCCCTCCCTCCGCCTGCCTCTCACACTTACGCCTGACCCCTACTCTTGCAGAGGGCCCGTACAGCAACGACATCGCGCTCATCCTGGTGACGCCGGTGGGCGGGCGCGCCTTCCGCTTCTCGACCCACGTGCAGCCCATCTGCTTGCCGGACCTGGCGGCCAAGCGCGCCGCCCCGGAGGGCTCCTGGTGCACCGTGACGGGCTGGGGCGCGCAGGCCGACGACGCCGTCGACAGCCTGTCCCCGGTGCTGCGGGCGGCGGCGGTGCCTCTCCTGACCCAGGACACGTGCCGCGGCGCCGACGTCCTGGGAGGCAGGAGACAACCCATCCTGGACGGCATGATTTGCGCCGGCCCTCTGTCGGGCGGCGTGGACGCCTGCGGTGGAGACTCTGGGGGGCCCCTGGCCTGCGAGGTGCACGGTGGGTGTCAGCGATGGGGCGACAGAACTGGCCGTATAGTGACCGGTGTTATTTTCAACATCGCCCCTTCTTTCCTCTTTCAGGTCGCTGGGTGTTGACGGGCCTCGTCTCGTGGGGGGACGGCTGCGCCAAGAGGAACCGGCCCGGTGTCTACACCAGAGTGGCGCACTACAGCGACTGGATACGAGACTCGGCGAAACAGCTCGGCCTCTGATCTGCCCTTTAGCTATTTTGGCTGATCGCTACGATCAGGCGTTGTCGCTAGCCCTTGTTGAATTGAATGTTTTTAACTGTGGTGCGGGTGAACGAACGCCTTTGCGGTCCACGGGGAAGCATGAGGGAAGGGCGCTCTTTTCTCCGGGGCCATACAAAATAAGCTCCCCCATGGCCGCGACTATTGCGACTATACATATTTATGTTCGGTTCATAACTTTTAAAGTCGGGTGTACAATATTTTCGATCTCAGGAAACCGAGCTAATCACAGTCCCTAAAACCTCTGAGGTGAGGCCCCGCCTCTCGAGACTAAATCCACCATTACCGGACCATTACTTTTTTGATGATGTCTGGCAAAAGTGTTACGGCGCGCGCGCACAGTCTAGTCCTGTATTTAATAATAATAGTACTATTAATTATAATACAATTAGTGATAACAATTTCGACGTCTTCAGATGGTATCCGGGAACGTTTCCCCACAAAGGTTCAGTCGGTGTGTGTCATCATTGATGTTTAGTTTGGTAGCAGATTAGCAACTACCGAAACATGATCTAAAGAAGATACCAGTTTTGATACAGTCGAGATGACTGTTGAGTGTCCGGTGCATATTTTATTTAAGTTAGCTCTATAACATGGCTGTGAGTATTTGTAAGGTCATTATAGTAACTTATTGAATACTATTCGATCCACATATTGTCAAAAAATTGGCAAGAAACATAGATCATTTCGTTAAAAAATGTGTATTTATTAGGCTTTCGTTTTCAGTAAAATATCCTTCTGTTGTGTAACTTTCGCCAGCGTGGTCAAAATCACTACGTTTCATTTTACAAATAAATTGTCGTTATTTTACTCTTT